TCCCCACATATAAAAGCTCCGTCAAACATCAGTTTGATATATCTTTTTCTAGATAGAACTTTTATATAAGACACCACATGAAAGCAGGATATATCTGTTTGATGTCATTCAAACTTATGAAAATGCTTCTATAATGTCCGAGCTAGATAGACAGCCTAGAATCCACTAAGGTTTCACTGTAATCTACTACAGTCTCACTATAATCCATCTGGAAGTTAAGAGTTCTTGCAATCCACCAATAAGAAAATATTCGTTGAAGAATAATACAAAATTTATTAAAAATTGAATTATCCACTGCACAACTCATATGGCTTATACATTTATAGTGTTCTTGATAGCAATCCTAAAAGAATGATAATTAGTAGAAAAGAATCCAACACTTAACTAATTAATTATAATCCTTAAATTAAATAGGGAATAATCTCAACTAATTAGAAAATAAATCATAATTAAGTCAGAAATATGATAAAAAATCATGCAAAATATTGACCTATTTAGGAATATAATACTTAAAATACTTAAAATACTAGTGTTTCTATAATTATCCTCCACATTAATATATCCTTTGAGGTCCTTCTCAAAAGAAAATTCCTCTGAGGTCCAAGATGTGGCGTCTTAGTTTGCTTACAGGTACAGACTGATGATAGGTCTATCGGCTATCTCATAAGGAGGTGTAAACTTTTCCAAATGATAAAGCAAGCTCAAAAAATTCAGCTTGTAAGTTTGCTAGGATATGTTCGACTTTGAGATAACATCCAAGTTCAACCTGGGAATTTGATCTCAAACATATTTGAGAATAAAAACAATTCTTTTGGTTGCTCAAGTCCCTTAATCTTATATCCCTATTCATATGCTAAAGCTCTGCACTCTTTAAAAGAGAAGGTTGCTTGTGACAGGTAAAAGTAATAGAGGAAGGGGATTCCAAGAGGGATCGAGAAGAAAAACTAGATAATCATGACAAGTGGATCGTATAAGAATGAAATAACGAGGATAAAGCCATAATTAATGGATATTTAAGGATGAAGTTCTGAACATAAATAGACTTCACGAGACACACTTAGGCTAATCTTTCTAGTAACTTAAATTTCTCTTCATAGAGCTTTGCTTTAAAGCAGCTAGAGTTCTTGTCTCTTATCAAATTTAGATAAAGAATATACATGATCGTTCTCTTTGCAGCACCAAGCAATCAAGACGAAGCACAAAATGCATATCAATACGTTCCAAATAACAACAAATAAGCAAATAAAAAAAATGAATAAAAACCATTACGTATCTATAGAATTCTATAAGCAGTAACAGAGATCATACATTTGATCAAGCTGTTTGTTGACTTCCTCCACCTCCTCCAGATCTGTAAGCAATTGACGAACAATTGCCCCGTAAGTCAAGGTAAACAACTCAGCATTCTGCACAGATTAGATTATAAGGATCAATAATGTTCCACTAACAAAAACTACTTGAATCTAGTTCAAATAATTCAATCGAAAGCCTTACAACACAATTCAACAGTCAAATTTATATCCCAGTCTTAAGTCGTACACACTAAAATAAGGGAAAATGGAAAAGTCAAATCAGTTTCAAATGTCAGTCTCTCAATCGAACAGCGGTATCATGCCACTTCAGCAGCACAGATTCCAGGAAAGTAAACAGAAAGCTAAATCCAGTTCAACTCGTATTTCAAGCCGTTTAGACCATTCAAAACTATCGAATCAGGTACTAAGTAACTAAAACCACGCGTGAACTCATAAAACCATCAATAATTCCAGAACTACTTTTCAGTTATTTCCGCTTCTGTTTCCCCGAGCTTTCTGAGCAACCGAACATAAAGAAGAAAAGGAAAGTAAATACTAAAAAAAATACTCTTATTCGCTTACCACTCTCTCGATGCTGGAGAAGATTGCATCACCGGATCGAGGACCAGCAGGAGCCATTATTTGAAATCGCGAAATACACAATCCTTGTGTCGATTAGGCCAATTTTGCTATGATTTGCTCGCCCCCAAAAATGAACTTGCTGCTCAATGCTCCATTAAAATTTGATCTAGCAAGAAAGAACAAGGTAGGTACACAGAGGCTTGAAATGGGCCTATTCTACTTCGTTTGGGCTGCACTCTACAGGAAAAAAATAATTGGGAACCCATTTTTATAGCCTTAAAATATAGCGCGTTGTGCACGCGCGAGATGGCGCGTGGCAAAAGCATTCACATACTGAATATATATAATAAAACGCTCGGTATTATCCAATCCAATTGGACTCTGTTTTAGGGTTAGTTTCGTCATTTGACAATTTCTCAAAACGATATAAATACAGGCATCGAGAAAAGCATCTCTTAGCATCAAGAAGAGCATTTCCTTGTTTTGTAGAAATATCTTTTGTCCTTGTTGTGCGCTTTGAGTATTCTTCGTTAAGGTAATCTTCTTTTTTTTATTATTTGATTTGATTTCTTTTTCTAGTGGTTAATTCTTTCGATCTGATTGAATGTTTTAGTTGTATTTTGTATATTTAATTTTCATATAGATTTAGGGATTTTGAATCTGGGATGTATGAGATTCTTAGGGTTATGATTTTATTGGTTGATCATCGATTGTTGAGGTAATTTGGGCGTTGTGTGGTTCGGAATTTTAAATTTGATTTTCCTTGTTGTTTCGTATTCTATTGACTGGTTGATCTTGTATAAGTTGTACGACTATCAGAGCTTGATGTTGTTTGACGGAAGAATTGAATGAGTTTTTTAGTTATTTTGGTTATTTTTATTTTTCTGAATTGATTTGGATTGTGAATTATTTGATGGAACTCTTCATTAGACCCCTGAAAGGAAGACCATCAACCTCGAGGTTAAAAGCTCCAAAGCCAGTGATATTGGTAACTTAAGAATTTTAAATTGATTTTTCTTTGTTTGAATTTGTGTTGATTGGTTGATCTCATAAAGTTGTATGACTAGTATGACGCTAATGTTGTTTGGGGAAAGAATTTGATCAGTTTTTGAGTTATTTTGATTAGTATTTTACATCTAAATTGGGTGAAAATTTTGAACTATTAGATGCAAATCTTCGTTAAGACCCTGACTGGGAAGACCATAACCCTTGAAGTTGAAAGCTCCGA